GCATGCCGCTAGCAAATAAACAAAAGGTTTGTTTACAGCGAAGTGAAGATGAAATGACACCAAAATAGGTGTGTAGATGGGCAATGGGGAGTTAGGACTAAGTATGAAAATTTATGAAAAAATTATGTGAACTAAAGGCGTGCTCAACTTTTTTCGGAGTTAGGTGGCTTTGAAGCCACCTGGAGCCACCTGAGGTGGCTTAGGAAAGAAAAAGTCATAAATTTTTCCTCCCTCACATAATTTTTCCACTTTCTTTACATACTTTCCATCTACATCCCAAACCCTACAAACTGGTTCCTAAACCGCCTCAAACCCCCTTCTCCCCGCTTAGTTATAGCCCCTTGAAAATTTTGAATGGCCGCGGAAAGGCTGCTCTAGGCGCGTATTGCTGCACGATGGACACATTATGCCACCATTTTGGAGAATATGAACATAATCGTGTGTGTTCAATAATCCTTTTTCTTTTTTTTTCTGCTGTTGCTTTGTACCGTTCCTTTTCATGCAATTTCTGTTCGAATATCTCGTGGCGGATGTCGAAATTTCATTAAAGTCAAAAGGGACTTTAGTTTTTTGCAATTTCGGAACGCCACCTCGTGCGAGCCCTAGTCAAGGGTCAAAGGGGACTTCGTAAAAATTCGCAAAAGTCAAGGAGGACTTCGTTTTTTGCATTTTCAACTAGCCACCTCGTGCCGAGCCCTGGTGAGTGTAGAGTTGAATAGTTAGAAGTCGAGCGGGCTGTATCGCAATAAAACATACATTTAAGGCAGGCAACTGATTAAAGTAATCAATCCGTATGTACTATAGTACACGGTTGGGGGGGGGGGAGGAAGTTTTTGAACACGATATTTTTATGTAAGGACGAAGCTAGACGAAATGACCACATGAAATCGATAAGGAGTGTTTACTCAACTGTCTGTTACATAAAATTGACTTTACAACCTGAAAATTCCTCCAAGACAAGCTCAGAAACGCTTGGGAATGCTGTTTATGGTGTCTGAGGAGCAAGTAGCAGAGGCTTCACCGTCTTACGTAGGTGAGCGCAGGCTTTGGCCTAAAGAACTGACCACACGCTGTAGTCGAGAGTGTTCAGATCCGGCCAATACGGAGGCCATTACGCAGGAATAATTTAGTCCTTAGCGTTGCTTCGGAGCCATGCTTGAACAATCTTCGTTTGTGCGCAGGTGCGCTATCCTGCTAGGAGCACCAGTGGCTCCCGGTTAAATGGGTAATGGTTTAAGTTAACAATTCCTTCTTCAGGATGCTATCCGCATGCTTAGCAGCGTCCACCTTGTTGCCCTGAGACCCCAAATATTAGCGGCATTTTGTCTCGGAAGCGATCGCCGGCAAACCATCACAAAAGCCAGATGAAGCTTTTCTTTTGCAAGTCAACTCTTGCTATTGGCTTCTTGAAGCGATTACCTGATGATTCTGTTGTATTGGCGGTTAAAAACCTGTCAAGGTGAAAATTCTAAAATCAGGAAAGAGTATCATTTGGTGGTGGCTTGGAGAGACGTTTAAGCAGTCGATGGCATTTGCGCAGTCAATTCAACTTCGTGTCTTCCCAAAAAGCATGATTTTTTTAGCATCTAAATAGTTTCACCCAAGGTCTGTTTCGCGACGTCGGAGACTGTTCTGCCAAAGATGGATAGCTCTGAAACCAGCTCAACTATGCTTCACCGAGGATTGCGATGAAGGTGTTGCCGAACGATTTTCAGATTTTTGTGAGTGTCCGCGCAGTAGCTAATTTGCCACTCCTACAGCAGTCCTGTGTCCTTTGTGTTGTTCACATCTTGGAAAAAACGCAAAGTCGAAAAGACGCTGGTCTGTGAAAATGGAACCCGCGCAATCTGCTGGTTAGCCATCTTTTCTTCGTGCATCATCGCCACCAACGCTCGCTCCGTTCTAGAAGGCATATCTCCGTTATAATGCTAATAGTCTGGTTTTTGAAGCTTCTTGTACTCAAGAGTATAAGAAGCAAGCACATATATTTAGCGTACAAGAATATGTGGGAAAAACCTAACATCAAAAATTGTTCCGGGACTTTTCCTCAACCCTGTATACGAGTGAAAGAAATATTGAGGATGCAGATATTACGCTGATGACTGTGATCTGCAAATTGTGAAAAACTCTTTCAGTAAATATTTATACCATTTATTTCTAGGTCTTCGCTCGCCAGTTTATTGGATTTAATATTTAAGTTGAGGGATTTGAATTACTATATTACACAGTCTTGCAAATTTCTAAAGTTCCGATTCTCTGACTCAGTTAGATCAAGAGAGGCGAAAAAGAATCTCAACTTGTTCAACATAAACAACAATGTGCCCTTGCCTTTTGTCCTCCAGGAAGTGCAATTCAAAGGGTGTCGTTCACAAATACACGACATATCGCCTTTCTCTATCTGGGTTCATACGTTTCTCTGATTCCACCCTGAAGAGAAACTCAAAATGAATTGAGCGGACTTTTTGCAAGCCTTTTATATTGAAAGCGAACGAGTGCACGGAGGCCTGCCAAGAATGAAGATGCAGAGTGGTTGCAAGACGATTTTAGCTAGGGGGCTCGCTCACGCCGACACTTAGGGAATTGCGAGTTGGAATATTTGATTGCGCTAAGTCTGATTCGAGTGCTATTGTAAGCATGTTTTTGATAAAAGAATGAGTTATCGAAATACTGGGATCTCAGACAAACTGAGAGCTTAGCCCGAAGGGAAAAATTGAAGAATGATTCTACGTGACTGTTGCACCTTCATGTTTAGACAATTAATAGAAGTGAATTGGATTGAAATCTCAAGAAGCGATATGATTAGCCAACGACTTAGCAGCAGCAAAGCTCCGTGCGAAGCTTTCAACAATAAGGCAGATTGAGAACACAATGCCGCATTAATTTCCCATTCTGCCATAATCACTCACCTAAGCGTGCGTCAATTTATTTTCAAATAACAACTAAATTTCGTATTGTATAATAGGGGGTGCCCCAAAAATTGTAAACACTGTTTGATCGTACCTCTTGCTTTCAAGTCTTTCGCTGAGTTTAAGGTATCATTCTGTAGAGCGAGGTTTAGATTTACAGTACGGAACTAATCAATCACTCTTCATTGCTGTAGGATTACGGTATGAACTTCGAGAAAGATTTTAGAAAAGTGAAAGCGATTTTTGCCTCAGAAGGAAATCCAAACAAGCCAGAAACTCTTATACTGGATTACTGGATTATGAATGTTGCACTTCACTGTAATGCTTCTATCATAAGTTATTTCAGGTTTAGGGTAACATCTGGTTTTCCAGTGTTCGTCAGAAGTGTGATTACACCATTGAAAGAGCTTAAAAAACTGGTGAAGAGCTGTGCACTGGAAATGGCACGCCTGAAAACCTTACTACACAAATTTCGAGACTTTTTTAAAAAAAATTTCCATTAGAAGGCCTAGTCCAAGTAGCGCTTTATGCTATACCGTAATCCTACACTAATGATGTGGAAAAAGTATTGTCCCTTAGTTTGCCTCCCAAAAAACCTCCAGACGAAGAGAATCTATAGCTTTTGATTCCTACATGTAGGCGAGACCTTGTAGATTAGACTAAAATGAGTTTGATTTGAAACGGCTTCCTGTCTATTGAAACGAGTGTTAACAGCGAGCAGCATCATCGGCGATGCGCCGGCGTTTGGGCGCAATTTTGGACCGTAACTATACCAGCAAGAGTCATATCAAGTTCAAATTGAGGTAGTATGTGGGGCACAATTTCTTCCACAAAATTCTGCACTTACTATGGATCTGTGATTTAAAGTTTTGGCTAAACAAGGAAGATTATATCCTAAGCGAATTCCAAATTAAAAGAGGCTAATCGGATCTGCCCTTACACAGTAAATTCCAGACTATGGTTTGAAAATCCAGATTCAAACGAAAAGTGACAGGAATAATGAAAAGAGCATTGAGCTTTGTCTAACTCATAATTTTAAGTCAATAAACGATTGCACCTAGTTTCTGGCCACGTTTTCTGGTCGCACCCTGTTGCGCCGCAGACGCTACTTCGTTGGAAAATTTCCCAACTTTTCTCCTACTGCAACTGCGTCTGGCTACATCCAGCATATTTCGAAGACACCACAACATTCTTAAAGCAACAGAAAATTTTTCAAGTCCACGTAGGAAACAAAAAAATTCCAAAAAACTTTATACTTTCTTCACATTTATAAAAGGGGGTTGCAAGGTTTGATATGAAATGTGCTGCAAAAAGGGATCCGCGTCCGGGTGAAATTGCAGAATTTTTGAGCCAGTTTTTGTAAAATGCTAGAACACATTCACATCTTGAGATTCGTGTGAAATTTTCCAGAAAAACCTGGAATTACTCCTATTTTTTGCGTTTATTTTGAGGATCAGCTTTTTCCGCACCCTGTAAAGAGTGATTGATGATTCAGTCCATACAGTAAATCTAACAAGGGAATGGTCAGAAATCGAAGCAGCTAATCCGTACAAGTTGCATACCATTAAATGCAGACGCTGACTCCAAATCTGTCTTCCTTATCTGCAGAGCGCTTTTGTTGACGCAATTATGAGCCATTTTGCTAAGAAACTGTGCGCGTAAAGTGCAAACTTGGCCGTACAAAGCCATTCTCGGCTCAGTGTTGGACCAAAACATGCAACTATGTCGCTTCATATGACCCGTACATGAGGTGAGCTGAAAGAGCAATAATGTCCTAATTTCGCAACTTTTGTATACGGTTTTTTCGCAGTGAAGCTGCTCATAACTTCGCCCACAAAGGCGCTCTGCAGATATGGAGGAAAGATTTGAATTCAGCATTTTATGCTGCAACGAATGGCATGCAGCTTGTATGTACTGGCCACTTCGACTTCTGACCATTCCTTTGTAAGTCGAACCTCGCCTTACAGAATGACACCGCAAGCTAGGCGAAAGACTTGAAAGCAAGAGAGTAATTAACGGTCAAATAGTGTTCACATTTTTTGGGACACCCTGTATATCATTCTGCATTTCCACGTTACAAAACAAAACAAGATAAAAGGCAATGGCTCACAGCTTTTAATAGATTGTAATCACTGACAGAGTATGCAGTAGCTTGTGGACATGACGATAAGAAATTGAGACAATGGAACAAGTGCAAGCTAGTTTAGTTATATTATATTGTAAATTGTCGCGTTTAGTGTCACTTCACCGGAGATCTTTGAAATAAACCATTATAGTCTTAGTACCATCGTCCATCTTGAGCTTGTAGTTAGGCGTATATATACATTTGTATCCATTTTTAGCCAACAAACTTTGATTGGCTTGCGACGAAGCCTCTGATGTTATTCCTTGAATTCCTTGCTTCTGTAAAGCCAAGAACCTTTTACAGTCGAAGATCAAACTTCTACTTACCCTGAGTTGGACAAAATCCAGTCCAAGATGAAGTAAGTAATTAGCTATGCCCTTCCGCTGATGCCTTGGTACAATGTGGGTGATCTCGCGGACTACAACTTTATTGATGGACGAATCAAGAGCCTTCCAGAGTGCATCTTTTGATTGATCCAATATCTCACCTGGAAGTATTGTTGTCAAATTCTGGCAAATTCAGGTACAGAGTAGCTCACACATTCGTGCTACCGCGGGATCAGTAGGTGTGACGAACGGAATCGGTTCTACATCTAAGCTGTAATCTCTGTGTCCAATGGATAGAAGACGAACACCGATAAGATTCTTCGTACCCTATATAGTTCACCTGCGCCAATTAGTCGTCAAAGTAATAAGGGACTACTCAGCGTGTTTTCAGATGACTGTAGAAGCGCATCAAAATCTAAGGGGAAAAATTTGCAATGACATCTATTTGATAACTGATCGCAAGGCAAACAGGAAAAGATAAGATGATAAAAAGAATTCCCGGCATGAGCGTTGCAAACAGAAAAGTCAAACGAATCTGTCTTTGCCACCTTGAAATTTTCCGACCTCCCTCTTGATCGCGCCAAGCGTGGAAATCACTCAATTGCAGCGCGCTTTTCTTCTTTCAAAGCCGAAGATTTGTTCGCTATTTCGGGTTCTACCAAAGTGAAGAGCGCTGAGTTTTGCCACCCTTAACACGTTGACGACCGAGCCATTTTTGACCACCTCAAAATGTACTGATGATCTACGGCTGCGGTTTGGACTGTTTAACAGCTACCGCAAAGCCTTGTGTTCTATATAACAACCAGTCACCAGTGTTATCACTGCATAGAAGTTACCTGAGAACTTTTTGTTTACACATAATAAATTGATGCACGAAAGTGCTAAAAGGTGGACGGCGTGCATACGCACGGATGCACACGGTCGCCAACGTGTTAAGACGGCATTACGGTGGCAGTGCCATAGCAATCAAAAAGAGTTGCGCACGCTATTTCTTTACATGACCTCACTATTTCTATAAATATAAGTCATACTTTGTCCTTATTAGCAGGCATGTACGCACGAGGCTTCAAGCCGGGTTGCGTATGCGTTGCAAATGAGTCATTTTTCCCATTTCGCAGCAGAGGATTTGAAAAAAATAGCTTACCGCACTTTTCATTAATTTTTTTTCACAATTGTCCGTAGTTTTTATTATAAGACCTTTTTCGTCTATGCATTGGTAGCATAAGCTTACAACAAATCAAATTACTACTTGGTGCAATGAAACGACGAAAAGCATCGTGCGCACGATCGTGTTTGATCACTTTACTCGTGTCCAAACCTATTCATCGCGTTACATATTCAAAGAGTACTTAGTGCATTTGATCTTGCATTAACATATTCGCTTTTTCCCGCCTGGACGATTCATCAACACCGCAGGACTGGCCGTCATGGCGGCGCACGCACACGCGATCGGGATTTGTACCGGGACAAGCTTATGCTTTCGCAAAGTTTTGCGCTCCGCAATCGCCACAGGCATTGCCAGTGCGCGCTATCTATGAATAGAGGATGTAAGGAATTCCAGCTTGACAGTTGCCACCTCCGTCCCTCCCTCCCCCCCCCCCCCCCGATGCCGGGCACTTAGTCTATGGTTTTGCAGAAACTAATTGCACTTTATTTGAACCAGTAAAATTTGAGAATTCTGCATCGCCATTTCTTCAGTATTGAATAATTTATCAAGAGCAAGTTATTTTTGGAGCTTATATAAGGATAGGTAGCTTTGTTCTTTTTCTTCACAAGATGGCTGCAAAATCACTATTTTGATTATAGGACTCATGAGATTGAACATGTGAATTTTGAAAATAAGTAGGACTTGTTGATGTAAAGTTTCAAGCACCCCAACCTCCTGCAATGCTAGTCTGCAACACATGCATCGAAGACATTAGCATAAAATTTTTTAAGTATCATGGAAAAGTTTTTCAAGTAGTCAAGAAAGCACAATAAATAATGATCTCACCTTTTCGTGTACACGATAGGAATATGGATAGTGTAGGTATTTTGCAGCAATATACTCAAATAGAGGCTTTGAGGTTTCAGGTTTCATGCCAAGAGCCTGTAATATGTTATGAACAGTTACATAACGAATTTGAGAAGGAACGCTTACCCTTGAGTGAGGCTCTTCTTTAATGAAGCTGCCTGTGCAAAAATCGACAATATCAGGCAGGTCCGAACTTGTTGCTGGCAGAAAATCGAAAGCTTGCGTCAAATCAATTTTGTGGCTGTCTGATAGAAGGTCACTTAAGTATGGGTAAAATTATAGGTTTTTGTTATCTCACAGTATGCAAAAGTTTCACCGTTGCCCACTCCGTTCATTTCTCTTTTAATTTTGGGCTTTATAAGCGGATGGGTGTTTTGCTCTATGCGAAACATGTACTGTAGAACAAGACCATTTTATCGGTGCAAAATCAATGTTTGCCTACAGAATCACTCCGTAAAATTGAGCCCTTTCTAGCTAGTGTTGGAGGCTGGAACCATTTGTTAGACCGAATAATAACTATCAAAATATGACCTGAAGTTTAATTGGAGTGAGATCTCGGCAGCAACTATCAAAAAGATTTTGGAAAATTTTGGTAAATTACTCCTTCGGAGGAAGTAGACATTGTTTCCAATATTTGGCCAAGAACATTGATTTAGGTTCAGAGTTTGGTTTCAAAAACTGGCGCATTCTTGGCTTTACCCAGTGTTGTCATTTGCCATGGTTTGAAGTTATTATGGTCATGGGATTGGATTGATAACATAAACACAGGGCTCGGCACCGGCTGGAAACAGAGAGATTCTGAAACGACGTGATTTTGAAAATTCTTACGAAGTCCCCTTTGATACGCCCCCTCCCCCTTCCCTCTCGCTGCTTCTCACTTATCTTTTTTGCCTGTGCTGCCGCCTACCATAGAATGGAAGGTATAAGGCTGGAAACCCTTACTATTTACTAAAAGGAAAATTTCGAAAATATTTTCATTACTTTTCACACCATGCGCCGAACGCGATCCTCTCCAAGATCGGAGCCGAAATATTCCAATTCTACATTTCAACTACTCACTTCCCCATTCTTCCCCCTCCTCTTCCCACCCCTCCACCTTCCCTCCCTCTCCTGACAATGATAACAGATATGTATAACAAGAAAGTAAGTAAATTAAGGAAACGAGTAGGCAAGCATACATGGCCAAACAAATTGCTTAGAAAAGCCTTTGCGATCGGAGCAGATAGCGCCGGTAATGCAAATTCTGGAGGGCTATGAAAGGCCTAGAGAAAAGACTATGAAATCATTTCTTGCTTGTACTTTCGGCTTCGGCTAATTCTGAGAAAGGTTAATAACGACTTTCATAAATTTTTTAGGCCATTGTTCGATCCCCTTATGCTGAACAACCAAATTTGGTGTGCGTTCTGTTTGTCAACAACGTCTTTGTTTTAGGGGTAGAGCATGCCAGATGCATGCCGGCGGCACGCAAGCAGCATGGGTTTGAGGCTCTACTTCGTGGATCTCGCAAGTGCGATATCTCCTTTGCTTTCTCCCCCTGAAATGATATCCCGTTTGACCCGATTTCAGCTGTGCCGGGCTCTGCATAGAGAGAAATAAATAAAATCTTCGTTTCTTATACGTGGTTTAGGGATAGAGGAACTTGGTAATTGGTTTTCAGATGCTCATAGCTTGTTCTGTTACTGAACAATCTTTCCGAAATTCTTCCTAAGTTGGCTTGTTATTGCATATAAAATGAGGGCGACAAACTCTAGTATTGTATTAGAATTGTTTGCTGTTCTACGATGCAAATTGCTTTTAGCAACTTAGCACTATCTAACCAAGCAAATTTTTGAACCTGAAACCCTTCTGAAAGAAAAAGACCGTAAAAATTGCATTCGCAAAACTTTCTTACAAAGACGCTCAGCTACGAAGCGTGTTTCAGATAGAATCATGGATAAAGAAAACTGAACACCGCTATTCAATGGTGAGATTAGCCAATCACCAGAAGAAAATATCGGAACCGCCGCTTTGCTTATAAGGGTGACAAATTCATTTGTAAACGTCTCACCAATCCGCTACAATAATTTTTGTCAAGCTAACGGCGGCACACTGTGGGACTAGAAAGGTAGTTGAACGCAGTGTAATAAAAAATACTCACATAGCCGTAGTTGAGCAAGACTTTGGCGTAGCATTCACTGAAAGTTTCGTTTGGAACAATAGCTAATACTTGAGGGCGACGACAAGCGAAACACAAGAACAACATAATTACAGCAATTTAGTCTTGCTTGTTAAATTCTTTGTTTTCTTCGAATAGCTCGTCAATGTTCAAAATTGCTCACGGAAAAAATATGAAAAGCAATTTTTAAAAAGCTGAATTAAAAGTAGAGCTTCTCCACCAAAAAGTCTGTGGTTGATTTTGGAAAGCGTCACGTATTATCAATTTACTGTACTACTTTTGTAAAACGATAAGTTCAAGCGCTAGGATTTTCTGAACAAATAGCATTGAAGGTACATTTCCAGGAACAAAGCTGAACCTGCACTCAAAATTCAATAAAAGGCGAACATCAACGTAGCACAGCGCACACGAGAACCGGTCTGCATTCCACATTCTTATCTTCCCTCTGTACTCGTGAGAACACATAGACTATTCTCGATGTCAATGCTGTCACGTCGCCATCGAAAAACCCTAACAATAGCACATTTTTGGGATAATTTACTAAATCAAGCTGACACATTCAGAAAGGGAGGGCGCTGTGGTTGTATAGGCTGCTGCACAAGTTCTGTCCGATTTTTTTGCCTAATGATGCGATTTTTGCCTAAGGATTTGTTTAAAGGGATGCTTCAAAAGATTTTCACTTCTAATACAATACAGTTGTTTCATTAGAAATCGCTTTTCTTGCTTTTTCTAATCACCAATCTAACGACGATACAGGTCTAAAATCCCCAGGTGGTCGAGATACATATGTTCTACTTACAAGGAAGAGTTCCCAAGTCAACTCGGCCAACCCGGATGAGTCATACATCACCGTAACGAGTTTGAAATGCTGATCCAAATCTGCTTCCCTTTTCTGCGGAACGACTCTACGAAAGAAGCTATGAGGGTGCGAATGTTTGAGTTTGTCATGTTTGAAGTGGCTTATAGAATAGCGAAAAGCTCTAAAACAACACCTAGCGGACTTCCACTGGCTGTTTTTCTTCCTTGTGGTTGGTATACTTGATCCAAAACTGAAAACGCACTTTTATGTGATGTTGTACAGCTTTTGCCAATTTTGCGCCACTTAAGACTTGGCAAATTTGAACTTCCAAATGTTGATAACTTCTTTTTGTAGAGTTGTTCCGCAGAAACTAAAAGCAGATTTGGAATACGCGTTTCAAGCCCGTTACGGTAATGTAAGACTCATCCGGGTTGGCCGAGCTGACTTGGGAACTCTCCCTTGTTAGAAATTATGATCTTGCAAAAAAACCTACAATGCGCCATCCAAGTCAATTCCTTTCATTGGTCGAGGAGTAGGGCTGTAACACGCTAGTATATGCATAAAATTAATCTCATGAAAAAACGTCTTGCTAGTAAAATTTGTTATTGAAGACTAATTTGTATATTATACAAACAATAACTTTCTGTGTATAGAGGTAATCGATGAGTCCAAAGATGGAGGTACTAGAGTAAAGCAAGAGTTAGCAGGACCCACCCAGCAATTTTTTTTCACCGCTCGCGGTAGTCATCTTTACCTTTACTTGATACGCTCGAGGCGGGCTGTAAAACAGGAACTCAGTAACGAACCAGGTGCAACAATATAATGTGAAAATAAACCAGCTTGCATGTACGGAAGCAAGGTCAAAAAACGGCTTCTTTTTCATTCGGTGAGAAAATTTCCTAGCATCGAAAACTCTGCGGGCTCTCTAGAACTGCAAAGTAATTTTCGAAAATTTCTCTATCTACCCATCATATGCCTGTCAGTTCTCATAAGGGAGCATTGTCATGCCAAAAAGACAGGTTTGGAAAAGAACATTCATAGAAACTGATTTCTTGCCTTTGACAGGGCTTTATGCAAGGTTAGCAATCTGATAGATAAAAAAACAGCATGACACTTACGAAAAAAGTTGATTTTGAAAGAAGTTACAGTTATTTTGAATTTGAAAATTAAAATCGGACAAAACTCCTGCAGCAGCCTATGTGCCCCGCAAAGTCAGGGCTCAATTTCGCTCCTTATTAGGGTATTTACTGATTTTTACGAGTAATCTAGTTTAAAGAATATTTAGCTTTGGCCCTTTTCCTTTGTAAAAATTTTTTACTTAGTCGCCGTCAGACGTGACCCAAACTCAAAAAATTGAAGCTGCATATACCTTAGATTTTACTAATATAAATTGCGAAAAATACTATAAACAACTGGGATTTTCTTGGAAACGTTTTATGTCCTATATAGAGATTCGAGGTATAGAAGAAACAAGCGAAGAAGGAAAAGTGATGCGCGAGGAACTTCATACATTAAGGAACAGGAAAGTAAAGAAAATTGGTTCAGTTTCACTAATGGAATAGATTATACATTATGTCACATAGATCCATTGTCACAGCAACCACTTTAAATACATTACTTTCGAAGATCTTTGAAGAACACCATTATGCGTTCAGTGCCATCATGCATTTTTAGATTGTACTCCGGCTTGTATAGGCACTTATAGCCATGTTTATCGAGCAACCTCTGGTTGGCCAGTGACGATGCCTCAGACACTATGCCTTGGATGCCTTGTTTCTATAAAAAAAATTATGTAGTAAGGGTAATATGGAAAATAGAGCTGCCAAAACCTACCCTCAGCTCGTCGAAATCTAGTCCAAGATGTAAGAGATAATTTGCAATGCCTTTTCGTTGATGTTTTGGCACTACGTGGGTAATCTCACGCCGTAAAACTTTGTGAATCGACTGATCAACAACCTTCCAAAACGCTTGCTTTGACTCGTCCAAGATCTCGCCGAAAATTTCTTATTGCCTATGCTCTCAGCACTAGATGAAAAGTAACTCACAAAGTCGTTTTAGAGCTGGATCACTTGGCTCAACAAATGTGATCGGTTCGATCTCGAGACTGTGGTCCCTATGACCAATGGAGAGAAGTCGAAATCCAATCAGATTTCTTGTTTTCTAAACTAGAATAGAGAATTTCAGCGCGTAATTTTGTTTTGTGTCATTTTCGTTCACACATCAAACAGAGGATGCAGGACTAGAAATTCTGGAAATCCCATTTTGTATTTGATAGTTGTCACGACAAGTGGTGCTAGGCAGACGCTATGATACGGTCATACGTGCTCAGCTGCCTTCAGAAATATTGTGAGGATCGATAAATTTTCAATAACTCTTTTACCACAACGTTTTGCTGTTCTGAATATTCTAGTAAAGGGCCGTCTTCTGTTAGGCCCGCGCATACCTTTCGCGATTTCAGTCGCGAGCGATTTGGCCATTTGCCAGATCTTTTCAAACCCAACATTCGCAGATTAAAGATGCTTGGCATATTCAACTTTTGTAAGTCGATAGCATGTGCTATTTTCCCTGTACGAAAATTGAGTTTGCGACGAGTTATAAGCAATGGGAGTACTGCAAGTCACATCGCGACTGAAATCGCGCGAAAGCATGCTCGGGCCATATGCTAGGATTCAGCTCTTACTATCAGAGCAAAAAAGTTCTTGGCAGATTCTAGCGTCATTATGAGTGTCACTCAAAAAACTGTGATAGCTGCAATTCCAAACAACATGGTAAGCTGTGGCGGTCTACCGTTGCAACAGCTCAGACAAATGACCGGAAGTTATGCAGAGCGCTTGCGGAAGTTCCACCGGGTCACCTGCGGAAGTTCCGAAATGAGGTCCTGCGGAAGTTCCGAAGAATGCGGAGTACAACAGCAAAAGAGAACACCGAAGCGAGATTTGAACTTCACTCTATTGACTGTCAGGCTCACCTACTATCCTCTGCACTACGACTGACATGTCGTAGTGCAGAGAATAGTACGACTCGATAATGCACTCTAGTTGTTGGCGAGGCAACATCATATTATGCAAAACATCAAAGTCCTGCGGAGGTTCTGGCCAAAGTGCTGCGGAACCTCTGGCATTTTCGGAATTTTCGCAGGATTCTAAAGAAAGTCCTGTGGAAGTTCCGGTTTTCGACCAGTTTGGCATAAAAACCCATGGAAGTTCCGATTTTCAACGTTTTCCTTTTTGCGGTAGTGAACAAATTCCCTGCGGAACTTCTGCAAATTTGGCTTGTCTTGCGGAAGCTCCGATGATTTGTCTGAGAAGTCAAGAGCGTTTAATGAAGGATGGAAGGTGTGTTGCCTCACTTTGAAATTTCAAACATTTTCCTACTGGGTTGCATAGTTTTGAAAGTGATCTCTGGTTATGAAACTTTCCATTCTAGACAATTTGAATAATGTTACAACCATTCTGAGCATGAATCAGATATAAGTGACTTTTTCAAGGAGTAGCTGAAACGAAAATTTCGCTAACTCCTGAAAAAAATTGAAACGAAGAGAGTCGTCCTGTTATCCCTTCACGTCCAAAAGAATTCTTTGCAACTATCACAGAAATTGCAGGTTTGCCAATGGATCCAGTGCTCCTAGAAACCCTAAGTAGAAAGTGGCTGTCCGAGCATCTACATAGAATTGATGACACACCATTCAATAATGAAACAGAGATCAGCAATCCCCGATGATCAATGTTGGTTTTGCCATCATCACAGATAACATAACAATGGTGGAATAACATACGACAATGGTGGAATTCATACAAGTCCGCGGATGAGAAACTGTTCAAATAAAATGATTGGTATTTAATTGGTCTCACCTTCTCGTGTATCCGGTAGGAATAAGGATGTTGCAGAGATTTCGCTACAATGTACTCAAAAAGAGGTTTCATAATTTCAGGTTTAGCGCCCAGTGCCTGCAAATGTCAAAATCGTGGACAGTAGACATTTAAAGAAACCAAATAAATTTATGAATTCACTGCACTCTAGAAGAAAATCTACCTTTGAGTGAGGCTCCTCGTACATAAAACTTTTTGTACATAAATCGACGATATCAGGCAGATCCGCACTTTTTGCTGGTATGAAATCAAAGGCTTGTGTTGGGTCTATCTTTTGACTGTCTGATAAAGTAAAAATATAAGCTTTCGCAGATAAATCAAGAAATACGCCTACATAATCGAATTTCGGCAAGAGATCGACGTAGCATCTGAAAAGTGTTGTTAACAATTTAAGCAAAAACAAGAAGACGGATAACGACAACAAGAAAACGTATAACGTATAAAAACTCGACACCTGGCTATTTTTCTCACATATGTCATTATACAGATGTGAAGTTTACCCAATGCCTAGACATTAGGTTTCTCCAACGTTTTCATGAGCGTTAAGTTTCATCAGGTTTTTTCTTTCGTATTCTATATTCGAAACAAATGATTTTTGAAAAACATCCCTTCATGGATTTCTAATCACAGACCATGCAAGGGATATTAGTGTTTTGAAAATTACTGTTAAGGAACTGGATATTTCGCATTCTTTTCAATTTTATCGCAACTCACACCGATTACTAAATACAAGTTGTAAAGTTACGAAGTATTCAGGAAGATTTGTGATTTACCTCACAGTCTTGCACTTTCTTTTAAGTTTGATAGGGATTTATTTCAGGTTACACCTACATAATTCTTAGCCTACAACAGCTGCTAGAAGTGATCAGGCTCATCCTCATAAATTCAAGGATCTTCTTGATTTTGCAACTTGTTGCTGTATGCTAGCAAAATTTCAAGACAAGAAGAAGATTAGTGACAAGAGGGGCAAAAATGTAGAGACCCTCTACTATTTGTTTTAGTCGATCGTAACGCTAAGTTCTTAATCACAAGACTGAAGCAAATTTCTTTAACATTAAGCGAATCTAAAAGGGAAAACCATGCAACAGAAACCCTACAAATCCCTGCGTCAAGAATTTGTTCAAAAATACGACATTCTTAACAGTGTTGAAGAGCAAATTGAAGAAATTAGCTCTAAATGCACTTATGCGGAAGACGTGACAAAGGTTGCTTCCTTGTTGTCGCTCTGTAATTTGGCGTCTGATTTGATTTAACGAAAACAGTCGAATCTTCGTTCTATCCTATTTGTTTTAAAATCAATCAATTTTGAACCAGCGCCTTAAGAAGAGTTGAAGGTCGCTGTTTGCTTGAACTGGAGGTTTTTTAATAGGAACTGAATGGGATAGAGTTGTCGTAGCATAGGCGTAACGTGCAGAATTCAATAATTTCGATTTTTTTTGAACTTTAGCCCAATGAATTTTCAAGATCTGAGCAAATCTATAAAAATATTTCCATCAAAATTGACCACAAAAAAATCAAAGAAGTACTTATGGGTAAAATAGCTAAAGAGAACGCTCATAACGCAACTAAGAACACAATCACTCAATTGTTATCTGCGTCCTTATGTGTTTGTCTGCCATTGTCAACATTGCAAAGAAGAATGTAGACTCTGTTCTGATTTGATTTGTACTTGCACGCTCTAAAAAAACGAATATTTTAAATTTTAACTTGATTTCATTGTTATTTTGCTGCTAAATGCAGAATAAGTGAGGAAAGCAAATAATTTGTGAGCGTTGAACTATGACTATACTTCAAACTACATACTATTAGTTTTCTTCCACTCATTCGAGAATTCTCCCTATTTAGATGGCCTAATCTCTGAGATGTGTACTCTGGGAGGGGGGGGGGGGGCAATAATCGAACGTTTTTGTTTTTTCCTTGTTCGTGTGAGTCTCCAGGATACGTACTGCAAGCATATAGATGTGGCTGATATACTCAAATATTGAATATATCAACTTGTTTCCATGTACCATGTGAGAAGTTGATGAGTCCAAATTTTACTATTTTGCATTTTCGAAAAGTGTGATTTTCAGAATCAAACTTTAAACTCCCTCTTCTCCAAGTGATGATGTTTGAGACGCTCATAGGAACAAACTTTCAGATGATTTTCTCCAAATTACACGAAAAATTTGTTTTTGATTTTGACGACAAAAATGTTTCTCGAAAAACATTCTATTTACGTGGTTGTATAAGTACATTAGAGCTAGGATAGTGATATTGGATTGGATTGAGTGATCATAAACATTACCTTACGTGAATTTTTGAATCCTTATACAATCTAGCGCTCCATAATGCGCACTTAAAAAGTACCACATCTGTGCCCATCATTTAAGGGAATTTCTGGGAAGTGGTTACTTGGTGGTAAAAAAAAAGAAAACGAAATTTGAAGTACTTCTGGGGTGGCAAGTCAACGGAGACTGTCAAGTCAAATTGTGAGTGGTGGAACATCAACCAAGAGAGAAGTGCTCTCAAACCAGTTGTGAGGTTATTTTTCTTTCAATTTCAGGACCAGTTTGATGGAGAACGATTGTTGAATCTCCGGGGTGGCATCGATTTCCAATTTTCTATATCTTTCATGCAGAATAGATGCAAAGTTAGAGACTGGTTGTGTGTGCAGCTTGGAATGAAGGAGAAACCTAGGCATCTTTCTTAGTGAACGGAAGAGAACATCCCTTCAGTATGATTTTGCAAGCTGAAAGGCCTGAAAACTTCTTTACAAACTTGGTCTATGTGGTGTCATTGGAAAATTTTGAGTAATCTGCATAAGAATTTTTTTCCCATATTATGCTATGTATTAATTCAATAGTAGATGGCTCCATTTTGAATCTTTATAGTTAAAGTGGCAACTACTCAGGTAATTTACCGGAACTTCCGTAAGACAAGCAAATTGCAGCGGTTGCAGCAGGATTTTTTTACTGTTACAAAAGTGCAAAAATTGGGCAGGGCTTCTTACAAATTGCTGCGGGAGTTTCGAAAATAGCTAGCGCTTCCGCAGCACTTTGACTTGCCAATACTTCCGCAGGACTTTATATGTGTTGTCTCTACGATGTTGTCTCGCCAACATACCTTCGATACATAGAGCCACGTACTCTGGTGACATTCACTTTGAGCGTTATGATAGAACACAAGCTTCACCTAGAGGGAAGTCATCCAGGGCAAAGCCCCGGATATCATGGCATAACTAATGACATTATAGGAAGAGATGTGAATGAGGTAAATATAGTAGTGCATCTAAAAGAAGCTCAAAAAACCGAAGTATTACGTTTTTGTGGCCCTTTTTTGCCAAAAAGAATTTTATTCAAAAATTCAATGAGGAACTGGAGCAAAATATCTCAATTAATCTTTCTCTAGACTTCGATTGAGCGTTGGAAGTTCATGAAAGCCGCTGGAGCTCAATAGAAACGAGAAACTGCACTCAAATCTTGCGCAGAGAGTCACTACTTAAATGCTGGTCTATCTCGTTATGGAGTGATTTTCAAGACCCGCGACGTTGTCAGTGCTCCCTGGACGTCTCATGAGGATCACAACGATATATAATGTTACAGGGTTTTTTTATGATCCCGCGGAGATCAATGACCAGAGCCAAATGCCCCGCTGCTCGTCTGCGTCTCCGCGACTTGCGCGCTACCTCGCTACCCCAAAAGCGGGGCGCGGGGCATTTGGCTCTGGTACCCTTTTCTTCGTTGTTGGGAGCCCAATTTCGACAATCTATATATCATATTAAAGCTCTTGATCTCTATTTTCACGCTGACAGCGTCGCAAGACTCTTTTTTATGATTTAAACGAGAAATATAGGAAAAACGGAGTTTTCGAGAATCTCTTGTTTTTTCTTCAGTTCAACTCTTTTCACTCGGTTTTTTTGTGTATTCGATAGGTCTTGTTTCTGTCTATTATGTAGACAACGTCGCCGAGCTTACTTCTTTGCTTATGTCGTTTTCTTTTGTGAAAATTACCAAAATGTGCGTTTTTCTTTACCTTGTTCTTTTTCAATGCTTTTGCAACGAATTTTCTCCATCTTGGACTTTTTTTGCTCAGAATGATGAGCGGAAGAATCCAGACAACGTCACAGGATACGAAACGACCGTGCGGGGGAAAAATTCAAAGGACGCGTCAAAAATCAGATTGGCGTCGATGTGCAGCATAACTTTTCAGACATGTTTAACATGTTCAGTTCAGTTGTTGACAAGCTTGCCTTCTTTCGGTCTCCCAACTACCGCCACAGCTAACGCTTTTTTTCAATTAGAAAAGAACTTTGTTCCTTTGCCACCCAATTTAACCGGCAATTCTGAAGACAAAAATGTGCGTAGGAAACCACCAAGATAAGGTTTTAGATTTAGTGATGCCCTAAGACACCACTATGAAGAGAATGACTTGCTCTTTCAAATAAAAATAAAAACACGCAAAAAGGCTGAAAAAAGCAGAAGTTATGAATTTTCAAAAATAGTGCGAACGAACTTTCGGTACAACTTAATAGTAAGGTACCTGCGCCTCACAGTTGTACAAGAAACATTTTCTATAAGGGAACGATCATAGATTTGATCCTTATTCAAGGTTTAACAAGCCAATCCCAATTCAAAGCATATGGGCTGAGAAGAGGCCTCTATGGGAAGAAGGACTAACATTTGCAACAGAATAATGAGAAGTGAATGTGTTTGCATATGTTATATTGACTCACAGCTGTTATATTGACTTGATACACAGTTTCGCAACGTGCTTGCATAATTTCTGAATGTCCATTCAAAGTCACGCCCACAATCTGGCTTTTTTTCATTTCAGCCAGTTAATAAAAAGTTCTTCTCGCTTTTTCAAGCCCCAACTAGTAGCTCTTGAAGATGACAAATCGGAAAATTCTTAGCGAAATAAGTTTTGTTACAATCTTCTCCTCTTGTTCTGAGAAATTCTAGAAACTTCGACAGAGTCTCATATTTAGCATATTTGAGGAAGACAAAGGGCTATCCCTTGACATATTCACATTTACGAACTGGGTTATGGTATACATGAAGGCAATTTTGTGACTGTAATTCACCCTTCATTTTTACATCTCCCTTTGAAAATCCTCATTTCTTCTTTCTATGTTTCTGAAATTTTTAGCATTTATTAGTGAAATTAAGGCGTTCGGTTTGAGACCATTACTAAGACGCAAACTTGCCAAAAAATCAATGAAATTGAAAAAAACTTAAAAATTGCTTGTGTATGTGAATATGTCAAAAAGCTACAACACTCAACGTGATTTGAAAGTGAGAAAAAGCCTTTGAGACCTTCAAGTCTATGGCAAAATATGTTATGAACCTAGTATCTAGTGTGGCCATCGAAGCCTGCGCAAAAAGTG